CTTGAGGCTGCGCTGGTGGTGAGGCTGGGCCGGGCCGGGCCGGGCGGGATAACGGCGGCGGCGGCCGGGGCCGGGGGAGGGTGCGCTCTGGGGCAGGAGCCGCGGCCCGCGCGAGCGCGCCCTTGGGCAGCCGGGGTTCCCTTTTCTCTTTCGCAGTCGGGCCGAGCTGCCTGGGGGGTCCAGGATGCCCTTCTGCCTCCTCTCACTTCTCTAAAATCCCTCTCGCTTTGCAGAGTGTGAAGCGGCTGCATTTAGTCCGGGCCTCCTCCCTCTTTTGCCTTTACTTTGATGGCGCATATCACCATAAACCAGTATTTGCAGCAAGTAAGCAAGCTCTTTTTTTCCCTCTGTGTGTGCTATCAGAATATAAAGGCATATATGCATATTTTTTTGCTGAAAATATGTTTTTACCATATTTAAGAAATAAGGCCATCTGGAAAGCACAGCGTGGTAAATAAATGTACTTGCTTAGTGCTGTGGTAAATATGCCAGCTGAGGATGTACTCCTGAAATATGACCTTGTATTTGATTTGATATATCAAATGTGGCATCACTGATAAGCGAAGCAGTTTGTGGATAAGAATTAACGCAGTGGGATTGTACGTGTGCAGGGATTTAAGGAAGAACCACAGTTTATGTGTATAGACAGCAAAGAGGATGGAGAGGCAGGAATGGGGTTATAATGATCTTCAGCCAGACTGAACCCTCTGTGTCAAGCTGTACATTTTTTACTGTTTCTCTTTGAGTCTTCTCAATCTCATCATTGTTACCATAGTCCTTTCTTGAATCAGAATTGATAAAGTCAACTGAATGAAGGGCAGATAAGTGGGTAGTTTTTTGATGTTCAGTCTCGGAAGCAAAACACCCGAGCTCTCTTGGGACAGTGGTCTGCTCTGAAAAGTCAGCATCTTCTCCAGTTAACAGTCTCAATGATCCTACCTTTCCCCCCTCCCTGCCGTATATGCTATGAAAATAATTTTAAATGTTAGAGCTCCTTTCCCAGTTCCCATACTTTATTTGTTATATTTTTACGTCTATGTCGGGAAAGGTAAAACCAAAAACTTTGCTATATGGAATGCCCAAACCCATAGATAAAATATTATGGAAAGTAGCAAAATATAGAGAAAGATATAAAATCAACTGCTTAAACTATTTGAGAGATTATGTTTGTTTTGAAGGAGAGTTAAGTTTCCTACAACTAGTTTATATTATTAAACATTGAATTAGTTAGATATGTATTTGCAAGTTATGATTGAAGGCAGGGCCAAATTCCATCTGCAGCATCACAGATGATAATACTCAAGGTTTTCTTTTATGTTTACCATATATATTTGATGCTCCAACTGTCAAGAAAAAGAAAAAACATTCTACTAATCTGTTTTGTAACTGTTGTCTTCAAATGTAAAGCTCATGTAACTTTTATTTTGGGCTTCTCCGATTTGGTTGTATTGTACAGATATTTAAAACCAAAAAAAATGTGGTTACCCTTCCTTGTCTCCTGAGAATATATGTTCATTATATACATTTATATATCGAAAGTACTGTACAAATATTAGTTCCTTCAGTTTTACATTTTTAAAAATTCATGAATTGATGTATTGACATGACTGAACAGTCATAACAAGTTGACTTTCTTAAGCAGACATGAACTTATTATGTGTCTGTGATACATAATATACAGATTATATTCTGTATTTTTTTTTCCTCTGTGCAGGTGCAAGAAGCCATTGACAGCAGAGATGGACAATTTTGTGCAGAACTGGTATCTTTTAAGCATCCTCATGTTGCCAACCCTAGGCTTCAAGTAAGAATCTATTACCCTGAGAAGTTATCTTGTTTTGGTCTTGTTTATTTTGCCTTCAGTGTTTCTCTTTCCTCTGTATGAGTTCCTCTCCACTGGGTAAAAACCTCAGAAATCTGCTTTACAGGCCAGAGCAGGAGCCCCTTGCAAGAATTCTGTCTGTTTCCATCTTTTCCTGGGTGTTGTGGGGTTTTTTTGTTGTTGTTTTGTTTGTTGTTTTTGTTGTTGTTTTGCCCTCTGCTTCACACTGTGTTCTGAATAGGCATCACTTTGTAGGCTCCCTGTGGCCAGGTCCTCAACAGTGAGTGAAGTGGCCCAGTGGGAGTGGGCATGAAGATGAAATCAGGTGGTCCTGAGGATGCAGTGCTTGCACTTTGTGTTTCAAAGGCTTTTTTCCAAGACTTGCTCTGATCTGGTTCTGTGAGTGCTAGCACGTACGTTATGTTGAACCCGAGTCGTAGTAAGGTTTTTGTAGATAGGAAAGACATGCAAGCAAGAGTGCCATGATAAAATACACAAAGGAAGTTCTATTTCCGGTCCAGTGTGTATTCTTTTAATGTTTTATTAATTTATTCTATACTTAGCTTCCATCTCCAGAAGAAAAGTGTCAGCAAGTTCTGGAGCCACCCTATGATGAAATGTTTGCAGCCCACTTAAGGTAATGATGGACTGGGAATGGACCACTGAGGTGTGAGGCGTGCAGTAATCATAGGGAAACATGAGTCCTTAAGTTTGAATTATTTTAAATGGCTTACATCTGATTTTTTTTTCTTTTGCTACTCTTATAAAATCAATATTAGAATTGCAGGAAATAGATCTGTCTTTCTTCTTTGCAAAGACATTATGCTTTTGCCATTCGCTTCTGTATAGCCCTTGACGCAGCTTTGGATTTGGTGCTTGCTCTTTGCATCATTCTTTTATACTAGTCGCACAAGATTTCAGAGTGAAATAAGGCAAAGAAAGAATTGGAGGGGAGGGAGAAAGGAATTTTGGTCATGAAATACTCTTAAGACAGCTTTAAGATTCAAATAATTATGCAAGACTTTTATTGAAGAAAAAAAAATGCTATGCTGTGCTTGGTGCTCTGTTTTAGTTCAGTCTCAGAGGTCTTGTATTTTTTTTTCTTTCCTATGCCTTTCTCAGTGATGGTTTCAAAAAGACTTAGCTTGTTATGGTTGTTACTGTACAGACAACAGAAATAAATTCCTGTTCATATACTGGATCAGTTTTGTACAGCTATCAGACTCAGTGCTGTGTTAAAATGTTTGTGTGACTCTGTTAGGAATACTTCTAAAAATATATTTCATTTTTTTTAAAGTTGTCTCTAAAGCTCTACATCCAATAAAAGGCAAAAAGAAGAGAAATGTTTGTTTCGGGGGCAGGATGCCTTCTGATGTACTAATGTTCTTTCTGACAGGTGTACTTACGCTGTTGGAAACCACGACTTTGTAGAAGCCTACAAATGCCAAACAGTCATTGTCCAATATCCTTTTCCATAAATCCTGTGGGCTACTTTCAGTAATAAGTTACTTTTACCATTTCAATTTTGATAGAATGTGTTCTGCTTCCACATACGCTTCAGCTATTTAGATTCTTAACGAGGGGAATCCTGCTGCACTTTATTCCTTTTAAATTTCTGTGGGGAAAACTGGCATTTGCCTCTAAATTAGAGTAGTAATTTCTCACAGAGTGTAAGAGACCCTCAAATCGCTAATTTAGATCCCAACTTGTAGTTATTTGAGTAGAGGAGAAGATAGTGATAAAGATGTTATTTTATCTTTCAGTGACTGATGCTTTTCACTATTTTGCTGCAGCACTGAGTGGAACATTGCAGTATTACTGTTCTTCCTTCCTTTGCATCTTGGTTTCTCATTACTTGGTGTTTTGTTGCTTTCTACCGTGTTATAGAGCATATAATATACAGCATGGTACATCTCCTCTGTTTCTTGTTTAGATCTAGGTTTCATTTCATAGCGTTTTAAATTTCCTAAAAATGATACATCTTTCCTGCGTGCATTTCAGGCACATAAAGAAGAAAACTGGTGAGTACATTATAAAGAGTTATACACAACTAGACTCTCTCTTTCATTGCTATGATAACGTAGCAGTCGAGCTAAAATTATGCCTATAGCTCTTATTTATCTCCATTGATAAATGCTTTTTTCTTTTTTTTTTTTTTTTTGCAAGGGTGGTGGGGTGGCTACCCATCAGAGTTTTTATGTCCAGAAGCTTGAAAGCCAAACATACATGCTTAATTATGTAGAATAAGCCATAAGCAAACAGGAAGGATCTCTTCAAGGGAAGAGGAAGGGGTTTTTTATTGTTGCTGTTTTGGTTGGTTTGGGTGTTCTGGGGTTTTTTTGTTCTGTTTTGTTTTGTTTCACTCTGTTGAAGCCATAGCCTTTAAAAAAGGCTTCCAAGTGAGTTCTCCTTTGTCAGATTTAATGCTGAGATCTTGAAGACCTTTCACAAAGAAACTTTTTAAATAAAAAGGACTTTTTTAAATGAGAAGGAGTTTTTAAGGCTGCTGTATATTTCTCTAGTTTTGTGACCAGCTAGCAAGAAAAAGATGCCTGTTTCTCATGCCTTGTTTATTGCATGTCTTGCACATACTAAGTGTACAACATTTTACTTTTCTAGGGCTTTACCTATTATGTATGCTGTAGCTCTTGACCTTCGAATTTTTGCTAATAATGTAAGTAGATCTGAACCGTACATTAACAGCTGATTAATTTTATCTGTTAGAAGTTAATATTTCTGGTAGAAATATTTTATACTTTTTATTAACCTGATTTTTACTAGTCGCGCAAGAATTCAGAGTGAAATAAGGGAAAGAAAGAATTGGCGGGGGGAAGGCAGGCAGGAATTTTGGTCATAAAAGTACTCTTAAGATTAATATGCAAATAATTATGCATTATTATGCATAATTATAATTCTTATTTAAAATAATTGTTCATTGCTGTTCAAGCTGTTGTTTAAAGAACCTAAAAACATATGAATATGAGCATACTCATTTACAAACCTACATATTCATATGCTTGCACAGAGAAAGTGTGTGTGTGCGCGCTCACCCGTTCTCGTGCACACCTAGGCTATGTAATAAGTCTTGATTCGGTAGCCAATTGAGAGAATCTGTATATTTGAGATTCACAAGAAATGAGTATTTGGGATCTGTCATGGTGGAAGCATTTGAACAACTTTAGTATACTCAATAGATACATTTCTGTTCTTTTGCTTACATTTCACCTACTGGAAATGGGTCAGTGTTGTAGAGAAGCTTGTTAGAAAGCATACAGCAAATATCCACCCTCTAGTCTGTGTGTGTTTGTTTTTTGTTGTTGTTTAAACCTTGTTGATTGTTTACATTGTTTACATTCTGTGTTAATCAGTGCATGGGATCTGAGATCCTTCCCACTTCCCAATACATGAGCAGTATTGCCAACTCATTGTTTTCTTTCGGGTCTGCAACATGGGCTGGAAGTGTATTATTGCTGATAAATGTGGTGTGTGTTCTCGTTGATGTCTTTTTGTTGCTTTTTTGTTTTGTTTAAAAATCTAGCCCTCTTGACTGCAGAGAAAAGCTTGGTCATAAATTAAATAAGAACAAAATAAATGATTTTCAAAATACGAGTATAAGCTATAGGAAATACTCTTCCTTTTATTTTTTATTTGTTTATTTATTTATTTATTTTTTGCTTGACCCTTGGTCTTTGAAAGTTTGAGTTAGTGTTAATGCTCCAATGTAGCTGTAAGGTGATTCTGTATTTGGGTGTCTGTATTAATCTTAATAGTCCTGAAGCTAATAGTGCTAACTGTTATTTGCAAAATTCTGATTGTGTTCCTGTGTATTCAGTTTGATGCGAGGTGTTGAGAAGCCGCTAAGTGTTTTTTTTATTTACTTTTATTTATTTATATACTTTTATTCTGTAAGCTTGGGTGACTTTCAGGATTTAGGGAACAGCAGGCATACAGGCAGGACAAATCTGTTATAATAACGCTTTGCAAATTGCTGTAGTAAGGAACTAAACTGTTTACAATCCAGTGAACCAGGATGTCGAATTACACGTTGTTTCTTGTCATGTAGGCAGATCAACAGCTGGTAAAGAAGGGGAAAAGCAAAGTTGGTGACATGTTGGAAAAAGCAGCAGAATTGCTGATGAGCTGTTTTCGAGTCTGTGCCAGTGACACGTGAGTGACAGATCCTCTCTACAATTTGCACTTTTGAATTGTTAAGAAATTAATGAACTTTATAGGTTTCTCCACTCACAAAGGCCGTATTTCTGTCAGAATAGACATTTCTGGGGCTCATTTCCTTCCACTTTTAGTCTGTTCTCTCTTCACTTTTAACCATAGCTTGGGAGGCCTCCCTCGAAGTTTGATAATGCCAGTATATGTTATTGGGAGAGATTGATTATGTCCTTATCTCTCAGGAAAGATGATTAACCCTTTTGTGCCTCATTAGTTGGCATTTTTGTTTTTTTTCTGCCTCCTTGCAGACTGCAAGAAGATTTTTTTGTGTGTGTTGTTTCCACCGTTACCAATTTTAATGCTTCTCAAGTGGAGAAAAAAAGCTTTTTCTTTTTTTTAATTGATCTCTTCTTCCTCTTGAATACTGGAAACAACTGTTATGCTCGTGTTACAGTGGGAGTCAGGAGCTTTCTGCACATGGGTAATATCTTGCTTGACATATGCCATTTTGAGAAGGAAGGCAGCAAAGCTGGCTTCAGGATTAGGGTTGGGACAAACATTCTGATTTGACAGTGCTAGTGTGGATTAAGACAAGAAATTTGGCATTGTCTTTTGTTTTCGGTCATATTCTTACCCTAAAAACATCCGTAATGTTACTGTAGAGCCAGTGAACATTGTAAAAGAAACTAACAACTTCCATCTTATTTCTTACTATATCTTTTTTTTCTTACGACAGGCGAGCAGGCATTGAAGATTCCAAAAAGTGGGGCATGTTGTTTCTTGTGAATCAGCTGTTTAAAATTTATTTTAAGGTAGGTTCAGGTCTGGTAAGCTTTTATTTATATGTGTGTGTGTGTATATAAGTCTGGTAAGCTTTTATTTATATATATGTGTGTGTGTGTGTATATACATGTATATATATGTATGTGCATCTATATATATTTTATATTCTAAGTCAATTTATTTTATATTCTAAGCCAAATTCTCCCCTTTTCATGATTTACCCTCTTTTTTAACAGATCAACAAGCTCCATCTCTGTAAGCCCTTAATTAGAGCAATCGACAGCTCCAATCTGAAGGATGAGTACAGTATGGCACAGCGAGTAACGTACAGATACTACGTTGGACGCAAAGCAATGTTTGACAGTGACTTTAAGCAAGGTACTGTGTGACCCTAGGAAGATTTGAACTCTCACTCCTGATGAGAAATGTGCTTGATGCATTTTGTTTGAATCAAAACCTCTGCTGAAGGTGCAGTTGTGTGTTTTTTCACTGACCAAAGCAAAGTCGTGCTGAATGATCCCGGAGACCACAGGCTGAATCAGATCTGAGGTCACTGATCTACCTGACACTTCTGATTGTAATATAAACCCAGTTTCTAAATGTTGGTGTCTATAAATTGTTCTGTAGTCTTCCTAGTACACTGTGTGTACGCATAATAAAACAGGTATTTTCTGGGTGAGCATCAACAGGATATGTTTGTAAAGGGTCTTACAAAGGAGCCTTTACCACTTTCTTTTCCTCTTGAAGTTGCTGTATGCCAGGCAGGAAACCTTCAGCAAACTGTATTGTGTAATTAAAGCCACTGCCCAAATTAGCCATACGTTTAAAGGAAAAGGTTCTGGAGCTGGTTTTGTTCCCTAAGCAGTTTCCATTGCCTGTTGGCTTTGTCATCTTTGTCTCACTGAAAACTGATAAAGATGTTTCACAGTCCTTGTACATGCTGGCACACTTCTGCATTATCAGGAGATGTGCAGATGTGTGCATCAATCACATGTGGCTTACATCCCCTGAAAAACCTGATCTGTGCATTTGGAAAGTGTTTGTTTCATCAGGGCTTCATGAGATTCCTCCTCTCCTGTAGTACCACAGTAATATTACTGAGCTGGTAATTCCAATTTCATTCATAACTCTTACCTCTGGCATCTAGACATTGACATTTTTTAATTTCCCTTTCTGAAGGAAGGTTGGGAGGTTTTTGTGTATATTCTTGATATATTTTAATTGATTTGATTTTTTTTTTTCTTGCATCATTCAAAATGTCGTGGGCTCAGCTCAAGGATACACGTTATGCACAGAATTTGCCTTGTAGTTTTAATCAGTTTTGCTGTTGACTCTTGTTCTTTGATATTTTTGTGTCTGCAGCTGAGGAGTACCTGTCGTTTGCCTTTGAGCACTGTCACCGCTCAAGCCAGAAAAACAAGAGAATGATTTTGATCTACCTGCTGCCTGTGAAAATGCTATTGGTGAGTGGATGTTACTCTTCCAAATCAATCTAGGGGTATTGAGTATCAGCATAGTTTTGTTTTTCCCAAACTGATATTCAGAGCAGTCTGTGCCTGGCCCACATAAGTCGTCATGCATAGATTTGTACAGCTGAAGACAGAATATGTTGCCCTGTCATTTATGCATATAAATGTAGGAAATGGGGAAACCCTAAATATTTCCCCCATCTGTCTCTGACCTCTCTGAAAAGTAGAACCCGAAGTTACGTATGTAATAGAAACAAATACTACTTCAAGCAGCTTAAAGTCAGAACAGCTCAGCTGTGTAGCTAACGTAGAGTGCCTGCCTTGTGGTCAGCTATGCACAGAGGGGCTGGGAAAATATGTGGATTCACTGGAACAGATCTATCCGTGTCATCAGATGAGGGTAGAGAGAATGTGCAGGTAGTTTGCTGAAGACTGTCAAACAGATCTGCCACAGGAAAGAAAGGACTCCCAGCTTTGGCTTTTCCAGCTTTGGGCTCACTGATAGCAACTTGTGCATTTACCTGCTTCAGGCATGTCAGAAGTGTCACCAAGTAGAGCATTTTGGTTTTGATCACTAAATGAATCGATGAGATCTGGTTTTCCATTTGATTCTTATGTTTTTTTATTTGTAGAATTAAGTGTATTTCTACTTCTTATTCCTGTCCTTCTCCATCCACTGTGCTGGCACCTTTTGTGTTCCCTGAGTTACTGTGATTATACAAATTTTATTCGATGTAACAAGAACAAAATTTTAGCGAGTTTTCTATTCCTGGGCCTATTACAAAAGTGATTCTGCTCACATAGTTAATGTTTTTATCATCCACTGTGAGAGTTCCCATCTTCCACATTTGCCCCAGCCTGCTCATGACCATTCTCCCTTTTCCCTTCTGTGCTCCTTATTCAGCCCTGTGCAGTGTCAGGCTGGTTATTACTCTGCAGCTGCCTTTTGATGACAGAAACATCTTGTGGGGAAAGGGAGAGCGTAGTGATGGTTAGATTCTGTGTTTCATTTTTATTTATGGTCTTTTTTACTAGTTGTTTTCAAATCAATCAGTGATACTTTTGCTTTGTCAAACCTATCAGACCTAACAGACTTGCTATAAACTTTGCCCCCTTTCACTGGGTGCCTCAAGGTGGGTCGTTTAGAGCCCTCAGGGCTCCTGTGGAGCAGTTCTTGCGTACAAGAGGCCCTAAAGAAGGCAGGTAGAAGTCACTATTTTCACAGTTCCTTTTTCAATCAGTCTCCAAACATTACTATGAACTATGTATTACTATGAACTATGTATACTATGTATATAATACTATGTATTACTATGAACTATGCATGAACATATTAAAATAGCTTGGATGTTCTTGTTTTTGGTAGTTTTTGATTTTTTGTTTTTTCTTTTGTTTTATTCCTAGCAGCTCTCGGTAAACATGCAACTGAGCTGCTGAGTTGTGCTCTCAGATAATCCCCCAAACAAGAAAAGGGGTTGCCCACAACACAGGGTGATAGTAACTAAATATAACGTCTGACCGAGTCAGTGTGCAATATGATCTCTGCTGTACATGGAGGGGGGGAAAATAAGTTTCTTTTTGATAGTGCACAAGATTTAAAGTCTTACCTGTTCTAACACTGAGAATTTTTTCTTTAAATTTAAATTAAAATTTTCTTTTTTCCTCTAAGAAAGGAAATTTGTGCATCCATACGGAGCCAATGTTGAAAAAAAATTTCTGGTATAGACAGAGCTAGGACTTAACCGTGCTGAAGTGCTGCCTGTATGATTAGTAGTGCCTGGGAGTTTGCTAATTAGATCATACAATCACAGTGTACAGTTTGCAACAGCCTATGCCTTGTGTCACAGAATCTTTATTTAGAAATTTGAAAACTGTTCCCCAATAGTTAGGAACGCTAAAAGACTCCCTGAACCATGGTATACAGGTTGTTATCACGAGCTGTGTTACAGTATGTTTGCTAGGGGTGATGTCTTGCAAGTACTTTTACTCACCTCTTTTCAACTACATTTCTTTTGCTATAGAAACATATCCCTGTTTCTCCGACAAATGTTTTTTAGTTTTTACTTAAAATACATTTGACTTCACTCTGGAAAACTTGGAAACCATTTATTTTTCAGGGCCATATGCCAACAATTCAGCTCTTAAAAAAGTATGACCTTATGCAGTTTGCTGAAGTAACAAAGGCTGTGAGGTATGGGGATTTTATTTTTATTGTATCATATTTGTTAGTTCAAAAAATGTTACATAAAAATATTTATTTGGGATGACTGAGGGGGGAGAATATTCCTACCAAGTCAGACTTTTTTTCTCTCCTCAGAAGGATCAGACCTTCTCATGTTTTTATTTCTTCCATCGTTGTAGTGAAGGCAACCTTCTCCTGTTGAATGAAGCCCTGACAAAGCATGAGACCTTCTTCATTCGATGTGGAATTTTTCTTATTCTGGAAAAGCTGAAAATCATCACCTACAGAAATCTCTTCAAGAAAGTGTAAGCATAACGAGCTATATTTTTGCAAAGGCAGATTTATCATGGTTTTACCTAGGACTGAGATAGAAGTATGTATGTTCCTTAGTTTTCTCCAGCAGGCCAGATTTCCACTCAAAATGAATTTAGTGTAGAGAGGTCGTTTTACTAAAAACGAGAGTATCCCAGTGATTTTTTTTTTCTTTTTTCCTCTTTCTGCAGATATTTACTACTCAAAACTCATCAGCTGTCTCTGGATGCCTTTCTGTTTGCCCTGAAGTTCATGCAAGTGGATGATGTTGATATCGATGAAGTTCAGTGCATTTTAGCTAACCTTATATATATGGTACGTGCTCCCCGCCTTGCATTTTGTTTCTTGCAAACTGCAGACAGTAAAAATGATTATAGAGAATAGAAGTTTATTACAGAACTGTATTATATCAATTTAGTTAAATCTAAGGTGTTTGTGTTCGGTAGCTTATTTTGCACTTGGGGGTTCAAATGAATATGTTTAGCATTTGCCATGGGGAATTTCTCTAGTTGCTGCCTCTTTCTCAGGATCCAGATTTCTGAAGCATTGTGGTGTGCTTTCAAAATAACAGAGAGTGGAACAAAGAAATCTGTAATTTAGTTTATTACATTTGGAGTAACAGTTAATTTAAACCATAAAGTGAGCAAGAGTAAACTTCAAAACACTTTGAGTTTTGCCCCTTCAAGGAGATGTAAACTGACCAGAAGGGGGCCCTGGAAACAGGCTCTCAATCTAACAGAAATACTAGTTCACGTTTATTTAAGGTTTCGACTTTGTGCCTATCATGTGAGCAGACTGGCTTATACAAACTATTTTGTTTGTATGGACATAGAAAGCAAGTGCAGCAGTGCAGTGGTGATGGAGTATACCCCTGTAGCTCTGATTTAGTCTGAAGACAGCTGAAATACAGAAGCTGTGTTGCTACCTTCCCATGTTAACACAGTCTATTTTTCTCCTCCCAGGGTCATATTAAAGGGTATATATCTCATCAGCATCAAAAGCTTGTGGTCAGTAAGCAAAATCCCTTCCCTCCACTGTCAACGGTGTGTTGAGCATTGCGTCTTCTCCAGTGTTTCCCAGCTGCTCCGAACCACCCAGAGAACACTGTAAATGACCTGGTTCGTGTCCAGTACTGGAATACCAGGAACTGTTTGTGGCTCCTTTCCCAGAATGGTCAAGGCTGCCAGGGTAGCAGAGTGCATTGGAATGAAGCACACACTTTTTAACCATGACTTCCATGGGCTTTCTAGAGCATCTGAAGTGTCTCACCAGGAAGTGAAAGCAGAGCATTCCAAATTCCTTCTAAAGTACTTAAAAGCTTTATAGAAAGTACTTTATATTATTGTTTTTGTGTTTATCTTTCTGAAAAGAGAAGTGTCATCCTCTGGTACTAGTGATATTAATCCATTCTTCAGGGTGGAAATGTTTTTTCGTTTTCTTTTTTTATTTTTCAATAATGATATTGATGACTTGCTGATACTGAATACTCTCTTCAGGCCCTCTCTAAAAACTGGAGATTTTGTGCTTGACACCAAGAGCTTTACTGTGTCAGTGAAACCTATAAGTTTAAATGTTGGATGTTTACGTAGAGGTGCTCAGAAATGGCTGCTTTTTCTCTTTTGTAACTCCTGAAGCATTCTGTTTAATTTTCATCATGATGAAAATGGGTGTAGCTAGGTATCTCTACACCACTTCATTCTGTTTCTGGAGAAAAGACTGCCACTGGGTCCAGGATTTTAAGTGTCTCCTCTACCGGCTCCATTACTTTTAAGTTTTGGAGGCGGGGAAAGGTTGTTGGTTGGTTTGTTGCTTGTTTCTTTTTTTACCACATACCTTTGCTTGTGACAATGGTATCTTGTTTGTTTGCTTTTAACGAAATAAAACAATTGGGTTTTGGTTTTGTTTTTTTCCCCCCTTTATGGGAGTTTGGTTTCATTTGTCTTAATTCCTTTCTATTTTGCCAACTAACTGAAGTGGTCATGATTTCTAAGGGAACATACAGTGATATAAGGTTAAGTCCTGCGTTGATGTATGTGTTTAGAGGCCTGGAATTCCCCTAACTTTAATAAGTATTATTTGTGCAGGTGCTGAAATAAGAATATGGATATGTTGAAGCAGACTTTAGGGATTGGAGTAACTTATTTCCTCTTAGAAACACTTAAAAGCCCATAAAAGTTTCAAAGCTTCTTGGATTTAAACATGAACAGTAATAAGAAACTAAAAGTTTAGTTGGTTTTGTATTAAAGTAAATAGGTTTACCACATAATGTTTTTTCAGAGTACTGTGTGTCAACAGGGGAAAGGAGAGAGAATCTTGGGCTTCTTTCTACGAGGAGTTAAATATTTACAGTATTATTGCAGTTTCCATTGCTGCATGTTGTGACCGAGAGTCAAACTGATCTACAGGCCCATCCAGGTGCTCCTTGCAGCCATCAGGAGGAGTTTGTTGGTGGAGAGCTGGTTGCCTCGTGTCTTACTTCATTTTTTGTTTAAACCATACCATATACCTTGCGGTGTTGGTGAACAGAAATGTCTCCCAGTCACTGTTCTCTAGCGGCCAGGATCCCAGGATGCCCGTGAGAAACCAGGTGCCCTTGTACTCGGTGGCAACGAAGCCGCCTCCGGCCAGGCCCTTGTCTGCGGCCTCCCGGCGGCGCCCGCAGAACTGCCGGTTTGTGAGGCTGCCGTTGAGCGCTCGCTGGCAGGCCTCAGCGGGGAGGTAGGAAACCTGCAGCTCTTGGCCTTCCTCGCTGCCCGTTTTCCAGCCGCTGACCGTACCAACCATTCTGGGGATCAAGACGTGTTCCGCAAAGTCCCTCTCGGGCATGCACACAGGGCGCCGGTGTGTGTGGCACTCAACGTGTGCTTGGAGTTGGAGTAGCGCAACGTTGTTCTCGCCCGTGTCTTCATCGTAGCGTATGTGGATGTGGATCTCAGTAACTCGCACTCTTTCCTCGGTTCCGTTTGTCCCGTTATGCCCTGTGAAGCAGTAACACGTTCACTGCTGTCAGGAATAATGTAGTGGAAACCTTGAAAACTGCATGCAGCAGTAGCAACTGCTTATTTATTCTGGGAAATGTGTCCAAATGAGAAACTAAAGTGTGTTTTGGTTTTGTTTTTTTTTGGGGGGGGTTATTTTCTTTTGTTTGTTTTTTTGTTGTTGAAACAATAAACCAGGGTAAAAGTAAATTAGGAAGGATGCATTTCAGTGGAAGTACAAATAGCCCAGCGTGGCAGTGAATTTTGGTGTGAAGCAATATCCTTTTCTCCTTGGAAAAGGGAACAGCTCTCAGTTCACTTGTTTTTGCCTTTCTCTAGGCCACCCATTACAGTGTTGGCCCCTTGGAGTTCTGCGTTGACCGCTAAAGGTGCTTTTCTTGGCTTGTTAAAGATACCTCTACTTCTCATTCAAGATACTCAACTGAGATACTTTTTTTTTTTTTTCTTTTTCATAACATGCTTTCATAATAAAAAGCTGGTGAAGCTTTTTTTTCATAATATTTTTATGCAGCAGGATTTTTAACAAGCTGCTTTTCATTTAAGTAATGGCAAGAGAATTTGTACTAGGAAAAAAAAAAAAAAAAGGTTTGGGCACCTACCAGCACCAATCCTGATTTCAAAATTGCCGTGCTGTAGCGCACACTCTGCCGTTGTCAATACAAAGTTACTTTTCAGCAGCACTCCTCCACAGAAGCCCTTCCCTTCTGAATTTAGCAACAGCACCTCCGAGGAGAAAAGAGGGGAAAAGAGAGGGAGAAAAAGAAAGACGGTGAACGGTTCTTGTCACGTGAGGTTGATTGATAGGTTTCATGAACTGCCAGAAATACCTGCCAAGGAAATCTCCTGTCACGTTTCTTCCTGGTTTCACTTATCAGATTATTAGTGTCTTGAATTGTGCCACATGCACACTGATCTAGCAAAAGAATAAAAAAGTAAAAATTCATGCTGTATCATTTCGAGGCAGTTGCTGTCTGCAGGTATTTTATTGCTTCCACACTAACTCTAGGATTGAATTTCTGCACCAGGAAAGAGAGGAAGCATTACTTTCTTGGCTGCTGAAAATCAGAAGAGTTTGCTTGGTTCCTGTGGTGTAATAGGTTAGTGATGGTGCTGCCTCGTTTGGGGCAGGGCATTAGGCTCGGGGTGACCAGATTTCACTGTGTCTGTGCACATCTTCTGGCTTAGCTTTAGCTGAAAAGAATCAGGTTTTTGTGACCCCAGAGAATGCCATGCCATGAACAGAAAAGGTGATCAGTGCAGATAACTACAGAGATCCCCTTCACAACCCTGTTCCTCCTCTAGGACAACCCAGAATGCACTGTCACACCTGATGGGGATTTAGTCCACAGGAGCAAACTAGAGCTAGTCTGAAGTATAGTCTGCCTGAAATGCATGTTTAGTGTGAACATGGGGTCGTCTTCACTGGAAATGCTGCTCTACAGCTTCTCTCATGTTGTACTGCCCTTATTTTGCCAATCCAGGGCCAAAGCATGCTACCATGTTTTTACAGCAGACCTATTTTGCAAAAGGTCTTAGTGTAAATCTGGAAAAAATGAAAAAGACTAACACTTTAATTAACAGAGCAGCAAATGGTACCCTTTGTTTATCCGAATCAGCTGGTAATGAGGTTTCGTTCCTAAACAGACTATGAGTCTTCAGAGGAATGATTCCTTATTGAAAGTGGAAGTAGGATGGAAAACCTGCCCAGGCCTGCTAAGATGACGCAAGTGCTCTCTGCAGACCCACTTTTAGATGGTCAGATCAAATATTATTTTTTACCACTGCTTAGGTACTTCGCTGCTTGCTGGTGGCCCTTAGTTTCCACCTTTTTCTGCCTACTCCAGAAGGTCAGTGAGGCTCTTGTAACTTAAGTCTCAGCAGGCTCAATTGCATCTGGATTTCCATTTTACTCCCCACTCACCCATGCAGCGTGGGTGCCCTCCGCACTTCCATGTCCCCACCTACCTAACGCAATGCACTGCTTCTTATCCTTGCCGAGCTCGTAGCCCTCGGCACAGGAGCAGCGGTAGGACGTCTTTCCTGGGTAGCAGAAATGGTGACATCCTTCTTTTGCTTCGTGTCGACATTCATTTTTAGCTAAACAGAACAAGCAGAGGCAAAGCATCGGCAACAGCCCAGCTGCGGTTTTCTTGCCTAGCTTGAGTCCTCTTTGCTAAGTGTCTAATGCTTGCTCGCCCTGTTAAGGGGTGGCTTGGGGCCTTTGGCTTGTGGTAGTGCTACCCATCGCCTTATTTCTTCTCTTGTCAGGCAGAAATGGGAGAGAGCTGCCATTTTGCAATTTCTCCCCGGACCAGACTGTCTGCGTCTCTGAGTTTTGGAGAACCTTAGTAGCCAAGAGTCAACTAGGCCTTGCTTTTTGGGAGATGCCAGGGACTTTCTTTGCACTCCTTTGAGCAAAGCACCACGTAGATGCATTTGTGGGGCATGTTTTAAGAAGGCAGGTATTGCTTGGGGAGGGCCGGTGGGAAGCTAAACCTGTCTGCTTTTCAGGGAAAGCAAATTTCTCATGCTTATGCTAAGAAAATTAAAAATAACATCTGCCGTTATTAAACATAGCTGAACAGCACACTTTAAAACACGGTCAGTGACTTTAACATTTCATAGATGAACAACACTTAAACTTCAGCCCAAAGCCACAACATGCTGTGTTTAGCCCACAGGTGAAGCAGCAGAAAAAAAATGGCCTAAAGTGGCTCCCTCAGACTCCGTCTGAGCAGCTCTGGTTCCCAGCGCTAGTCCAGGGGTGTCTCTTCCTGTGCTCCCCGAGAAGCTGCTCCGCGCCTGCCCGTTGCACCCTGAGCAGACGATGACGCTGCCGTAGAGCAGCTCATAGGGCGGCCCCTGCCCCAGGGAGCTCCAGCAGGCAGAAATACTGATGTAAGAGCTGGAAAGCACAGCTGGGCAGATGCAAAAGCCGAGGAGCTGGCCCAGTGTGTTTTAAGTGCCAGAATGTGTCTATTCTGTCTTATACTTTCACTCAAAATGGTTTGTTGTTTTACCCTTTTCTTTCTCTGGCAAAATATGGTGTATGTTTTCTAAGTAGAGTAAGAATGAAAGGGAATTTTTAACTCCAGCACAAAGGATGACTAAAGAAAAAAAAAGTAGAGGGCTGCAGCTTTGAGGTGGGTGTTTTGCATCCCCTGCATTAAAAGGTTGTATAGCACCCTGATTTATTTGTTTACTTTTTTGTTTGTTTTGTAGCTTTGTTATTTAGTTCTAACACTTCTAATAGGTCTAAACATAGTAGTTAGTACTAGATAATACAAGAAATAATATGTGATAACCATTCGACATAGAATGAGGTAAGCTTATGAATTGTGGTTTAGTATATGTAAATAGTACAAGATACTTCAGTGTAGTTAAGATAATAGGAAGCTGCAGGCTCAAAAAAATACCAGAGAAACAGGACAGAAGTGATTATCTTTTTTCATGAGCAAATAAGGATTATAAGTAGTAGTTTGAGCAGTAACTACCCAATAAGCATATTTTTTTACAATATTCAGACTGAGAATTAGAATGCAATCAGATATGATTACACCATCCTTAGACTAAAATCTTTTATACGATTTAGCACATCCTTGTGCTTCTCTATCCTGAAGGATTGTTTTGAAGGTCTGCGTAATATTGGAGGCAGCTACATGGCTAGGGAGTCCTATCAGGAGAGGAGTTTGGGGTCTTCATGCAATTTAGCACCCCAGGGCCACAGGTTGGAGGTAGCTATCACAGCTCTACCCATCTTTGAGGACAAGCAGCCCAGCAGGCCCAGCAGTCTTGTTCTCTGGCAGCCTTTGGAGCTGAACCACAACAGTGACCTTACTTTCTGTGTCCTGAAAAGAGGGAGGGAGAATGGACAAAGTCAAGGCAACCTCAAAATACTGTAAAATCATGGCAGACTTGCTGAAGGGCATTCAAGATGAGTAGTATATATCACCTCCGCTCTGCCAAGAATTGCATATTTTATCCTAAAACTAGTAGTTGGTTTTGCTAGGTGAGCATGGTTTCCAGCCTGTCCCCTACAACCGAAGGAGACCGGTGTCGCTCAGGATGAAGAGGAGGAGGAGGAGGGGGAGGAGGTGCCTTACCGAAAGCACAGTTCTCCCCTTCGTAACCATCCGTACAGGTACACGTGTAACTGCGGATGTTGTCCTTGCATACGCCGTTGTGCTGGCATGGGTTTGAAGAGCACCTCTTGCCATCTAGAGAAATGCCACAGCAGAGGGGTGAGTTACTGGCAATAGCGACCCCCGTGTACATAAATTACACAGTGCCCTTCCCAGCGTGAAATAATAATAATAATAAAAAAAAAGATCTTCCCAGCGTGAAATAATAATAAAAAAAACATTTGGAGAAGTGTTGCCAAAACAGACAAAAACAGTTAGGAAGGAAATGTTACATCTCACTGAATTCTGCCTGGTAAGCAATTTTTGCCTGAGTCCCTGCTTTCAAGTATGCTCTGGCAACGCGAAGTGGGGAAGTGCACAGGGGCCAGAGGTGATTCTGAAGAAGGCTGCGCCACTCCTGGGATACATCAGACACATGGAGGCCCCTTCTCTTCCTGCCTTACCTACCCAATTTGTGGCAGTCAGAGTTTGAAATGGTCATTGTATCAGATGATATTAGTTTCCAGAAGAGAACAAGCGGAATACAAATAGTCACAGAAATTAGCTTTTAGTCTAGCAATGACTATTTTCAGCTCTATGCAATGCAGCCTGGAGCCTGGCCCATTTAGGAGTGTTGGGAAATGGAGCAACCCATTGCAGACAGGCCCTTTTCCAAGCCTGTCTGGAAGGGGGAGCGTTCTGGGAGCTGGTTTCTAACAAGAATTACTTTATTATTCAAAGAACACAATCATTCCCTGCAGGAAAAAAAAAAAAAGTGTACCTGGAACCTTGATTTTCTGTCAGAAAAGTCCTCAGTAACACTACATTTTTATTTAGCTATCTCTCTCCTCTGTTATTTTGATATTTTGAATATGCATTTCAGCTAAATTAATGTAATTACCAGATCTTGAATTCTTCAGTATTTCAAGTAAATAAAAAACAACCTAACCCTGCTACAGATTTTTCCTGTCAAGCAAATGGCTTTGATGGCACATGCCAAAAGTTCAAAGAACCCTCTTCAGCCCAGCTTCAAGGATGTCTTGTAAACACTGAGCTGGAGTCTAATTCTGCCTTGCACTTCAGGCATTTACTCTTTAAGAACATAATATGAGATTAGTATTTCAAGTGTCATGTGGTAGATTTAAATGTACTCGGCAAAAACCTGCCATCAAAATTACCTAGTGAACACAGTGAACCACAACACACTAGGAGGAGATCTGTCTTTTACACATCTGTACAAATAATATGAAGTTGCAAGCCAGAGGACGTCCTAGTGCAGATGAAGCACAGGCAGAGCTACAAAGTTCCCTTTAAGTTGGCAACTGGAAAGACTCCGGAGTAGTTCGGAAATATTCTCCAAATAACAGCAGCTTGTTGAGGCACTAATTGCCCGGAAGCAAGTCAGAAAAGCCTAGTCTGGGACATGAACTCCAACCTTTGTAAAATTTTAAGTCGTCATCCGAAAGGTTAATTCCAGTCAGAGGGTTACCATAACTAGAGGGACAGAAAGATGAAGACTCTGTCTGATACTGGGAAACAAGATCATCTTGGGCTAATGCATGTGCGTTTTTTAGCTTTAGCTTGAAGCAGTTACCACCTCCAGCACGGCTGCAGTGAGGCACTGCCATACCCCAGCACAGTGTGTGTCGCCAGGAGAGTTTTGGGCTGGGATGGAGGGGCTCATCGGTGCAGCTGAGAAGGCAGCTCTGAGGCATGAAAAATTCCAGCAGCAGCAGCTGGGAAGCTGGAGCTACGAAAAGATGGGGTCCAGAGCCTCAAGCAAGTTAGGTGGTTCCAAGCGTCTGAAACACAGTTAAGGAAGCCTTGGAAATTTCTGCGATCGGGTGAGATACCGTAAGACTGGAAAAAAGGTAAACCTAGTACCTATGCTATGTGCTATGCCATCTTTGCCTTGAAGAGAGCAACTTGGAGCAGCACAAAGTTGAGCCAAAAGGTGAAACAGCAAGTAGGCAGTGCTGATGCTCAACCTTTCTCTCCAGCCAGTTTTTATTTGCAGCACAGGTTTACACTGAATCCTTGAATATGGATGGAAGAAAACAGGTGTGATCAGAGATCTAGAAAAATGTGGCTTTGGAAAACAGGATGAAAAAAATGGGTTTGTTTAGTCAGGAGGAAGCAAATTGGACAGACAAATGACAATGTTCTTTAAAATATTTGAAAGAATAACATAAAGAAGTGCACCCTGATTTTCAGTGGACATTTGAAAGAATAACATAAAGAAAGAAGTGCACCCTGATTTTCAGTGGAAAGAGGACAGGCCACCATGGGTTTAAATTGGAATAGGGAAGCCATAGCTGAACATTAGAAAAAAATCTGTTTCTAGCAGCAAGGGTAGATAGCAACTTTTCTAGCTCCCTTGAGGGGCTACAGGATCTCTGTCATTAGAAGCTTCAGTGAGGATGTTAGGCAAACATCTCCTGAGCTTGTCTTAGGCTGTGTAGTTTTAGGCCACAAGGACGTTGGTCAGTCAGTGCCTTTCCTGTGACTGCCCTGAAACTTTTAAGCACTAAAAAGGAAAGGGATCCAAAGTTGACAAGTTTCCTTGAGATAGTTAGGCAAATGCTCTTTGATTTATCAAACTGTTATGTATAGCCCTAAGACTATTGAAGTAATTTATCTTTATTTTTGTAAGCTTTCTATGTAAGTATATGCATGTGTGTATGTGTACACACATAAACACATATATATTTATACACACACACACACACACACACACACACAACCTATGTATGAAATACGTTCTTTTTTTAAATCTATACCAAGGTGGAGAGTCTGACATAGTCTCAGGCAAGAGTTCTATTGTGGAAGAGATACGAAGTAATTCAAGGTCTGATATAGATTTCCTCATTCCATTAATGGTCCCTGTCCCCTGTTGCAAGATAGTAGTTATTCACAATTTTTTTTTTTCAGTTCTCAAGTTTGACTGAAATAAACTTTTAAAAAGGACCAAAGGCATCATGTTAAGCTTCCATTAGCTTTCCTTAAGTTCAGGCCCATCTCTAGAGAAAAATATATTTTTTCTTTATATCATTTAAGTTTTCACTGTTGATACTGTATTGGGAGTTTTTAGAGTTCTGATTATAAATGGCTTAAAATACATATTAAGAGAGAGCTAGGCACTGGTAGAAAACATTGCATCCACGCTGTGGCTAGGCTTGGTTGGATGATCCGTCTCAGCTGGTCACCTCATGTTAAACTAGAGGGGAAGCCTGTATGACACCCTGTATCTTAAAATAAGCATCTGACAACTGAAGTTAGGGGAAAATAATCCCACCTTCACAGATGCAGTGGAATACATAACTACCACCAGATATTTTATATGATTTTTCATAGCATTTAAATCACAGATGGGATTTTCTTATGAGACAGCAATCTAGATTCAGAGTTTTAATAGCTTCTGTAGAAAATTCTTGCTAAATACTATTTTTACCACTTACCCACTATCTAAAATAGTTGGAAAACATTAAAAAAAAAAAAAAAAGCTTAAGGAAAGAGAAGCATTCAGGATGCAGCACAAAGAAAGGAGTAGGCGCAGTAACCATAAAGTGTTGCGCAGAGTCAGTGCTCGGGAGGGATCCAGTTAGCCCTGCAGTTTTCTTTACAGGTTGATCTCTTGCCATGGGGGCTGTCAAGGCATGACCAAGTGATATCTACCAGGAGCAGCTCAGGAGCTTTTAGCACCCACCTATCTCACTCAGGTTTAAATACTAGGATTGCATCAGACTCAGTCATGATGCTCACAGCTTGATGCTATTAAGAAGTAGAAATCAAGAGAGCCAACTTACCATAATAGGCATCCCAAAACATTTTCTGGGAAAAAAAAAAGAGAAAACATATTTCAATTATCAAATAACATATTCTTCCATAAATATTTTGGTAAAACAAAAACATTATGTCGGAGGGTGCATACTAGAGTTTAACATTTGCACAGCTACACAATGGGAGGGATTTCAATTCCTGCTCATTTTATTGTTTGCTGAGCAGTTATTAAAGAGAAAAACACACTTTGTAGGCAAGAGAGGAACAGTCAAACCCCTTAGCATTATGGTTTCCTGAAAACACTGGCCAGAAATGATCTGTCTGGCCTGGGAAGTGACCCCAGCATCGCTTGGCCCTACCCAGTAGGAAGCTGGAGGGCATTTGGCGGTGTCCTGGGAATAGATCACAATACTTTTTGACCACACAACCTTTTAAAACAATGAATGCTTAGGAAAACATTTCCATGTGTGTGTGTGGATGTGGTGCGTGCATGTGTGTGCGCGATGGTACATTTTGGGGTGAATTGCCAGAAGGGCAGGTGTTATAAAACTATAAAACAGATGTGGCAGGATGTGGCCAGTGATGGGCATCCCCACTGACAGCTTAGGGCTCCTTCATCCTTTTACGCTGTTGCTTGTCCCCCAGAACTTGCTTGTCCCACTCTGCTGATGGCAGAGTTGATGATAGCACTGAGTGAGCTGGAGTGATTTACACTGGTCATGAACTCTTCCTTCCAAGGCCCCTTCTCTCTGGCCCTCAACTTTCCTTGCAAAAACAATCTCTGGCAGATTCCCACTAAGAGCCCAGCATCCGGCCCTGCATTTCAGAGGGGCCGTTGTACTTACAAGCATATCATCATTTTCAAACACTTCTCTTGCTTCTTCATGTGTGCATCTTTCCTCCAGGCACTCTCTTTCCAAGCTGCCCTGAAGGACCTCCTCCAAAAGCAGGGAATTGGCTCTCCTGTGTCTCTTGATAACTTTGTTTGCATCATCACCAGACATAAACACTGAAATATTGCATGACAAAATACTAACATAATTACTTACATTAATTTCCACATCTACTTTCGCTTTTTTAAAGAAAAGGTTTTAGCAAACAGACATATTAATCATGAATAGAAATCTTCTGGCTAATTCAGTGTTGCAGCAGTGCTAAATATATATACTGAATGAGCTCTATTTTCTTAGCCCAAACTAGGCAGAGGAGCCATGGGATTGTTGCATTTTGTTTCTTCTTTTTTTTCTTTTCAACATACATGTATGTGTGATGTCCTGCACAGCCCCCTTGTCACTCTTCTGTGCCGGACTTCATGGCTTTCTGATCTCAGTAAGACCAGGACAAGAAGTTACTGAGTCATGACATTATTTTCCCCCCTAGGTTTATACAGTACTGAGTACAAGGGGATCCTGGTCTTTGGCCAGTGCCCTGGGGTTCACAAAAATAAAAGTACTTGACTGTAAATCATTGCTATACTTTTCTGCAGAATTCCTTGTACATGCAAAAAGCTCTAGGATCTGCCTGCAGCAGCCCTTCCTGCTGCAGTTTTACCTTGCATAAGACCTACAAAACAGCTTTGGACATGACCAGGGGAAGGAGAAATACTACTGGAAAGGCAGAGATAGCTGTGTAAGACTCCAGGGGACTCTCCGAATCTTTAGTAGAAGTGAAAATTGCCACTATACATTTATGATAAAACTGGCAATTTTCAGCCTGATTTCCTGGAGATTTTCTGCTGAGGAATATGGCATATCTCAGTAAGATATCCCTTATGGAAAATAAATAAAAGTACCTCTCAGCAATGCCCACAAAAGCTACGAGTGCTATATCATATACGATGCCTTGTGGAGGGACATTATTATCTTCATAAAAGAGAAATCAAAGCAAAGAGAGATATCAACTCTTAAAATTCCCCTCTGCAATGATGCCCACAACAAATATTGCCTGGCTCCTGCTGAGCTGTAACCCACTATGGCGTTTACCCTTATGCAGCTCTCTGTGTCAGGCTGTATTTGTCACTTCTCCTATACTTAGTATGAAAATCTAATGGGTCACTGCTTTTTTTAATTATTATTATTATTTATTTTTTATTTCATACAGCATTTGGGGCCCCAGAACTGCTGGGCACAAAGGTATTAATCAGCAACATTACAAATAGAAACCATGATAGGATTAACAGAAAATGCATTCTGAAACCACATACAATTTCAGTGTTGCACAGGATATCCATGTTATACATCAGTATACACTGGCAGTGCACATTTTTGGTAGGACTATTTCGACTTTGTAAGTGGTCAGTTTCTTTTTTCTCTCTTTCTTGGTCACATCCTTATTATTTTTGACAAATCATGGAAGATTAACACAGAAATGTGTACTTCTGCAAACTACAAAAAGCTCTTCAGCTTCTTTAATAAGTCTCTTTATTTCAGCAATAACTAGAAATAAGAAACCATATATATGCATTTAGTATATGGGGAACTTTTTAGGAATGATAAGTATAGACAAAATATCATCCTCAGGTAGATCATGGCATTTCAAAATGTTGTTGTTCCATAACCTACAGTAATTTTTACTTAGGTACGTTAAAAAAAGAGAGAGAGAGAAAGAAATGTAATAAAAACTAAGGAAAATAAGTTTTTCTGCAAGGTTTCCCTGTGCTGCTAAAACTGAGCACAATAGAAGGTACACGGTTACTCACATGTTTTAGGAGAGTGGTAGCACAAAGCAAAATCAAAGCTGCAACAAAGCGAAGGCCATACCTGTCTGCTCTGTCTGCAGGAAAGGGAGGACAGAGAGGAGACCCAAGAGTGTCCCCAAGCCCCTTGCCATTGCCTTGTCTGAGACTTACGGCCGCTTGCCTGCCTTCCTGCAGCGCCGCTGGCAAATGGCGACATGGGAAATGTTGATGTTTAAAGTCCAACTCTTTGTGAGACAACAAAACCTCCAAGGGCAAAGCCTGGCCTCAGGGTCAACACACAAACATCTTAAAAATACTCTTTTGGTGGTGCAACAGTGTCGTTTTTGCACTGCAATGGGAATATGCCTCCCATCCCTGGGCCCTTTAGTGTAACACAAAATGGGGAGATGTGAACCCCCAAGACCATTCTTTGTATCATACTGAAGCACAGCTAGGAGTTTTATGTTGACTTCAGGGAAGAATTTTATGGTGTGACTATTTTATATCCCCATAAGACATTTACCAAGGCAGTGAGGAAAATTCTTCTTTCTTTGCAACTTAGATACACTGCCCAACTGGGCTGCAACGAAGTGACCAAGTGCTGTATTTCCCCTGTAAAACTGTATTTTGATGGCTCTGGCATTTTTTCTCCTTGCGTGTGCCACAAAGGAGAGGATGGGAAGCTCTTCCAGAGCCTGAGGATCTCAGTCGCAGGCCTGCACACAGGCTGCAAAAGGGGACCTAGCTAAGAAACCAAAAGGTTTTCCTCTGCTGCTCTGACCGGTGGTTGGGCATCCAGCGTGGGATAAGACAGCAGGATGGATGCAAGCAGGTTACAGGAAAGGCCAGGTCCCCACCCAATCCAATCTGGATCAACAACATGCTGGTGTTGCCCAGGCAGGGCACTGCAGCAAGGGGGTCAGCTACCAGCCCAGGAGGGCTCCCAAGGAGAGAAGGAAATGATTTACACAGCCAGAGCAAAAAACGCTGAAGGAAAAAAGTGCTTTTTAAAAGTGTTTGCCTTTTCATCTGTATGTTTTTCATTTATGTAATGAAGCCCCTGTAAAAAGGTATGTTGTTCCTGAAGGATACTCCAAGTTAAAACCCTTCTAACAGCAAGCCTTATTTTATTCGCAACCAGTTTCTAACCTTACATACTTGTTTCTCCCTTCCTGATATTTCTGCAGAACCAATTAACATACCTTCCCACCCTCTTCAGTTCACCAGGAGTCAGGCTTTTCTTAGCACATGAGCTCTTCATGCTCCCCATCATTTACCTGAGGCCACGAACCTCAGGGCGATTTTCTTGGCATGGGGCTATGGCGATGCTTTTCCATAACTTTCATGCCAGGTTATAGCCATTTCTCTTCACAGCTGCTGTTTATGTCTCCCTTATGTCTTTGCTTTCTGCGGTGATGACTGTCACCCGATGCATACACAACACCGTGAGCCTGGCTCCCTTTCGCACACTGAGGTGAAAGACACAGTGCCACTTGATGTCAGCATAGCCCCAGGGCTTTGCAGAAACCGGCACAAAACTGTGCATCGGTTAAAAAAAAACATGTTTTTTGTAAATGACCTGGTTACATTTTGCAAACCCCTGTTGATTAAGGAGTCCTTTTAGGCATAAGGAAATTATTCAGATCAAGTTAATAATAGCAACACAAGCTTTAGAGACTGTGTTCTCTCCAGAGTTTGGCTTGCATGTTAATGCTTTCTTACTGTTTGTTTGTTTTTCTTTTTCTTTTTCTTTTTTTTTTTACCAAATATTGCTGGCTGAACTGCTGTGCTCTTGGGAATAGGTCACAGTGTACTCACTCATGTATGGCCCTGAATTGTGACGTTGATATTATTGCAACAGGCCCTACTTTTAAATTTCTGTGCTACTATGGAAAATTGCATAAAGGCAGGATTTTAAAAATGCAATCCTGCCCTCACATAGTTTTTTAATAGGGAGTGATGGGAACCTTTTCCATTCCTTCAAATATCATAGTGAGCACATGGAGATATGTTTCAATAAAGTGTCCCACAGCCCTGTTTCCTGTAGAGCTGGTTACGGGTTGCCTCCTACTTAAAGAAGGAGGCAAAATGCACAGAATCCATTTCTTTTCAATGATCTCATGCACACTAGGATTCTGAGAGTTGCCTCAGAGCCTGTCCCTCATAATGGTGGTGACCATGCCCTCTATGAAGAAGGACCATAACAGTGGGAATATTCAGGAAGCAGAGCGAGTGACACAGGCACATGCAGCAGGCCAAGGGAAGAGGGTTTGCCAAAGAGCTGTGCTTGCTGTGACGAGGTGGTGACAGGGACATACCGATGCCACTGACCTCATGCTGTGGCCCCGTGCTAGCCGTCACTCCTCGCTTGGCAGAGGGCAGGCCATGGAACCCCGCCACTGTCATCCACTTTCGGGAAATGTGTACTCACGCTACCAAGAGGGGACAGCGATTATTTTCCAGAAGTCATCCCTGCTCTTAGCAAATCTCAATATCTGATTTCTGGGCTTATGAGGGGGGTGCAGAGGAGGGAGGGAATTCCTCTTGCAGACACACACACGAACACTGTGGTTAGATGTATTTCCTGGAGAGCGGGTCAAACCCGCTTCACAGTGAAGAGCAGATGCTGCACAGTCTCCCTGCAGCAGAAGGTACAGAGGCAGCTCTTGGCATGTGCTTCCTCCTCCACCTCACACACATACAGCCTCTCTTCTTCTCTGTGAAACTTTGCAGTCATCTCCCCCTTCCACAGGCTGCTGTGGCATCTGGGGGCCAGATAAGGGAGAGCCCATGACTGTTTGCTGCCTCAGGGCTGGGAGGAGGAGACATGTGGAACCGGACCACCCCTCTAAAAGAAACCCCCATGAGGACCAGACTCCTGAGCTGTCATCTTCTGCCATGTCCCCTCTCCTGTCTTGCATGCCTGCCACTGGGCCTCAGGGTGCTTCATGTTGGGATAGAAGAAAATGGAAGGATGAGATTTCTCCAACGTGTTTAGAGATGTATAGTTTGGTATTGTGTGAAGGATGAGGGCAATGGCTGTAAGGGAATGGGGAGAGAGTGGCTGGGGGAGTGTATGGCTGTAAGAAGAGGCTGCTTGAATCCTATTGGAGTGAGGGAGCATGAAAACACAGCAGCTAAAGAAGAGATTGGGAAGAGGGAGGCCTGAGAATGGTGGGAGAAGTGGCTTGGGGCTGTGACAAGGCAGAAAAACAGGATAGAGAAGAGAAGGAGAGTGGGATCAGTCTGCAGAAAGGGTATGAAGTTTAAGGGAGTGGAAATGATGCAGCTTTGAGTCCATGACGTGCCATGATTGGTCTGTAGCAGGGGAATTGCACCTCTGACACAGATGAGAGGAGTATCTCCCAAGGCAAGAGGAACTGATCAGAGTTTTCATCATCATAGTCAGCTTCAAATATTTATCAATCTCCATATGCATAGTATGCCATTTTCACAATGAGCCCTTCTTGTGCCATTACAGAAACTCAGAAAAACTCAAGTCTCTGGCAACAAGGCCGTAGTAGGGGGCCCTCAAACCCCTTTGCTCTGAGCTCTCTTGCTGAGGTGATTGCATTGAGTTTTTTTTTACTCACTGCCTAATTTTGCCACTGGCTGCTACACATGGGACTAAAAAAGACATGAGGTGCCCTGTATGACAGACTCATGTCTGTAGTGCTGCTGTCATCATCTCTCCTTCCTCAGAGTGAGAGCCCTACAGCCCCTGCAGCTGCATCACAGCAATTGCTAGCAGCTCCAAAGAGACTGAGATGCCAGAGCTAAGGTTTTACTGTGTCCTCACTCAGTAGTTCATCTGTCTGAGGGCCAATTTATAAGTCTCTATGTCAGAATGTGTTTTAAGGAGACCATATCTGATACACATACATTGTGCAGCTATTATAAAGGGGAAATAGAAGCAGGAGATTTGCAAAGCAGAGCTGTGTTTTTTGAATTAAAAAAACTATCGCTTACAAGCACCTGCTGAAGAACAACAAAATGTCAATGGATGCAGCCCAGTCTAGCCATCAATCAGCCCAAAACAGATGGGTGTGATCACGTGTACTCTTGGTCCAGAGCTAGCAATGAATGACACATTACTGCCATTTACGTGCCAAAGTACCTATCTGCAAGCATGTTTATATGCATGTTATAAGCAGGTCTCTGTGTATGCCGAAGCTACACAGCTGTGACCTGCCCGCAGAAAGGAAGCACCCATCCCACAAAGGGTTAATGCTCAGTAGTCTTAAAGGGGCTTATAATTCAGTTAAATATCTGGAAAGTCATTAACTAGTTCTGCTCACCATCTGCATGAAAAAAAAAAACAATTTTTCTTGCCACATCCGAAGGGCATTGCCATTTTTAAACCTGGAGGAACCGCAGTCATTTTGGAGAAGCATCAAAACTGCCGGTCTGGTTAGGCTACAGATTGCAAGAATTCCTGGGAGAACAGGGTTGGATTGAGAAATATAGCTTGGGGAGGTTTGATTTTCTGCAGTGGCTTCTGTAGCCACAGCAAGGTTTTAATTTGAGGACAAAAGCCTTGCCAAGAGGTTGTGTAAGCCTCCTGAGAGCTTGTGACTGGCAAGGAGAAACATCTTGGAACTACCCTGACATCTAGGCAGATGCAAGCTGTGACATTTTATATTTCTATGCACCAATTGCTAAACCCCATAATTGTTAATATTTCAGTCATTAAAATAAATTCTTCCTTTACTTTTACCTTCATGTTTCTTTCCCTTTCCACACTTTTATCTGAACTTCCTTTTCCTTTCAAAACTTCAGCCCATGAAGGTGAATACAAAGCAGTCATAGATGAAAGTGCATATGCACAGGGAACATCATATCTGCTATGAACTTATGTGTAGCTTCTGTGGTAAATAAAGAAGTTCAGTAAGGAAATTCCCTTATGAAAAACTCAGAAAACTCACTCTGTAGTCTGTTCCTTTTGAAGGAGGCTTGTATGATTTTTCTTCTTTTCCCTGACAAGATCTGCCTGTGACATAACTTGTATCTCAGGAAAAAAATTGCTTGAGGATGGGCCACAGAATGGCAAAACTATATCCATTTTTTTCAGGGAAATTCCTGGGACACGGATGCAGTCAGAAGTGGTTGATGTGGAAATAAGAAAGTGCTTTGAGCTTACCTTCTTACGATCCGGGACTTAACAAATTGACACCTTCTGAAATAAAAGATCTGTGTAATGGTAGGACTTTATCATTTTAGAAGCCACTTAAACAGCTCTGATTTTGAGAGCTTGTTAATACAGAGGTTTAGATCTCTTATCAGTGCTGTCTGAAATGCTTCACTGAGCTTGTCCAAGAGCTTTACAAAGTTTTGCTCCTGTGCTCATGCCCTTGCTCCTAAGATTTCCCCACCTGTTCCTCTTTCTGGTAGGCTATTGCCCTGAGGTCATGGGCAGGAGTCCATGCTGACTGCAGGTATTGAGATTCAAGGTGTTGCTATGACCAGCAGACCACTTCCTCTGCAACAGGGACAGCAGAGGAGAGCCCTGTCCCAACCTCAGCAGCAATAGCCCAAAGGCTTTGGTCACTCCTGTTCCAGACAGACATAACTGGGTGGCTGATAAGGCTCCTGCCATACCCCTGACTCCTAAACCACAGGAGACATGGACTCTGTGGGTATCTGCAATTGCTACGCCTCTAGATTGCATTTGAAAGTAGACTTTTGTATCCATGACAGGAAAAAAAAATCCATCCACACTGAAAAAACATGACACAAAGTTATCTGTCTTTGTAAGTAAACCTTCTAGGATGGTTTGAGTTACAACTTCATCCTCTCTGTGAGGACTTATATAGAACTTACAGCATAGACAATGTGATGTGTGCCTTGGTATACATCTTGAGTGAGATTTGCAATTTTATATGTGATTAAGCAGCGGGGAAAAGCATCCTTGCAGACAGAATTTGTTTTTACCTGATACTAAGCAAGTGAGTAGGATGAGGAAGGTGTTTCAAGCCTGCAGCCACAATAAATCAGCGTGTACGGGAAAAGCTCAGGTTACTGATTCCACAGAATGCACAATGACTTGTGGTCTAAGCTCGTCGAAGGTTTCTGTGCCTTTTGGGGTTGATTATGAGTAAGTCAGGATTGCTGCAGAGTCAGGACAACTGGGGATTCAGGACCGGATAGGAGGAAAGATGGTCAGCAACAAGGGAACTGCTCATCAGGGAAAGTCATGTGCGATAGCATCTCCATAGTCACTGGGAAATGTATGAGTGTGACCAGTAGCCCCATATAGCAGGTTCATATCTCAGTAGAAAGTTTAGGGATGAATTATAACCCCATTTTAAATAATGTCTTATGGGAAGTCAGGCTAGGGTAAATTCTTTGGAACAGTTATGTTAGAGAGTCAAATATGCATCTATCAGGGGCTGAGCTTTAAGCTCTTGAGACTCTTGTATTAGCAATTGAATGCTATGGTCTGCATGGCCATAGTTCCTCCTGGAACTCCAGGAGGGAGTTAATCTATCATTTCTGAATTTGAGACTAGAATAACAGGGAGCTGTTATCAGGGAAAGGGGAAAAATAATAACCATAAAGTCCTCGTTCAAATACAACAGAATTCAGAGTGATTTTTTCTGAGTTTTTTTTACGGAAATAAGGAGGTGTTAATCTCAGGGCAAGTTTCACCACACTATTTCTTTCAAATTTATCAGCATAATCTATTAAAACAAACAAGCAAACAAACAAAAAAAAGCCAGAATGGTGACTTCCACATTCATAAACTGGATAGTGTGAAGCCAGGGAATGAGAAAAAAATAAATTATGTTGTAGCATAATGAGTGCAATAACACCTCTTTCCCCTCTTGTTTAACATATGCGCTGACACATTTTTTAAAGAACACTACAGAATACTTTATACCTTTGTAAAGATTCAAACATTTAAATGTCTAGTTCATCATTTTCAAGTACCACTGAGGTGGCTGAAAATTAGGACTTTCTGCCCTCGACACTGAAAAAGGCAGACAGAGTATATCAGGCTCAGTTGGTGAAAAAAGCCAGGCCTTTTTTTCGGTTTTGAAAGACAATTTATCCCCATAGATTTTAAAACTTTTCAGCTGTGAAGAAGACTTTATACAAATGATGACACACAATTCGTGTGGCATGTGCAGTCCATTCACTTTATTACAGCCAAATCATGAAATGAATAATGATGGTGAAGAAACTGTCTCAGAAGGAAAGCAAGAAAATATGAGCAATGGATATGAGTAATTTTGATGACTTTAAGCAAGCTTTAACTGAATCTAATAAAGAGTTTGTGTGACACATCCAGTTATTTAGACTCATAGAAGATATAGCAGTACTCTCTACATTTTCTAGTTTTTCCCCGAGTGCCCATATCTAGTGCCATACATATGTTTCCTGAGTGCCATACATCTAAAAGGTTGCATGGTTTGTCATGAGGTTTTAGAAATACTTGGCTACTCTGATATTGTCCTAATTTGTTTTTGCCCTAGTCTGACTTATAAACCAGTTCTGTAAAGCAACTACTGACAGATACATACTGGTTTAATTTCAACTTTCTTTACAAAAGGAGAGGGCTTATCAGCACAACCAAAGCCTTCTATAGACAGACTTGGATAACTATAGCAAGAAAAGATGGAGTTCCTGAACCATCTTGTTGGAAGAAGTTACACTATTGCCCAAACCCAGAAGTTCTATTTTGAGGTCTAAGCACACTTTCTGAAAACCAGGCATTAACTCATGAAAGAATAGATGGCATCTCTCAACAGAACTTTAGCAGGTGTATGAAAAAGAGGAGGGCATTATTTAGAGATTAGATATAATAGTTAAAACAATTAGGTTGATTAAATGTCAAGCCATTAAGAATTTTGGTCCACGATGCTTCTTATCCAGGGTAGAAACTTTGACAAGTTTGTGTATATTCCATATTTTCCTGGTGTTCCACACCCTTCACCCCAGCTAATGATACCAGTGACAAAATAAGTGCCATTGTATTGGGTTACATGGGGACCTCCTCCATCCCCGAGACAGGCATCTCTTCCATCTTTACTATAACCAGCACAGAACATGTTTTCTGTGACCGTAAGATTAATGGCAGGCTTGCAAGTATCCATATCTACATAAGGGATTTGAAACACTTTCATTCTTCTGGCCAGCGGTCCACGGAAAACGATGCTTCCAAAGCCACTAATAATTCCAGATGGTTGTCTCATCAGAACTTCAGTAGCAAAGTCTTCCTCTGGAAGGCATGCTGGGATAACATACTCAGAAAATTTTATAGGTTCCTTTAATTTGATAAGAGCTATGTCACTATCAAAAGTTTGGAAATCAAATGCATCATGTATAATTCTTTTCTCCACTCTGTGCACTGCTTCACCTTGTTCTTGTTTTTCTGTGTCCATGTCCCCTGTGTCAGATTATTAAAAGCATTAATAGTATCACAATGTCAGCAAGTCTAAACATCATCTCAACACAAGAAAGTATCAAAGTCCCTTACATTTTGTTTAGGCATTTGTATTGCATTAGTAAGATAGACCAGGACTGTATCCTGATGTTATAGCATTTTATACCCATTTTGAACAGGTTTAGATGACATGGAAGCGCCAAACAAGTACAGAGTTCAGAGTCAGGATGATGTGCTCAGCGAGGACTAGCATAAGAAGCTCTGGGATCCATCACAACATTCCCAGTGGCACTCTCACGATACAAAACCAAAATCCCCAACACAAAAGAGCAGGATATTGCCTCTTCATTTCTTGAGCGAATAGTCAAACATGTATGTATTCATTTTCTTTTTAAACTTTAACATTCGAAATTTCATGGAAAATATAAGAGTTAATATATATTTAGTTTTTCACAACTAGTATGAAGTCTCTGAGAATTAAATGGAAAGGCAAATGGAATCTGGACAAAGTATTCTTTGATTTACTGTTGTATGTTGACTGCAATTTTTATGACTTGGAACATGAATTTTAGCTGCCTAAGACTTTTGATACTTTGGGATAAATTCTAACAATAAATATTGAATTTGAGGTTTCATGTATGGAATCACTTCTGACTAATATCTACAGGTCAATATATTTATTACCGCATCTGAATGCTGCATTTGGAATTCCTCAAGGTTTGCTAAAACAGAAACTTGCACAAATTTGTAATGTTAGACCAATTTAACTAAATCAGCTCAACTTTATCTGCCAACATACTTTCCTGATTTAAACCTGGCTTATATCACATAGAAACTAAAGTGAACAAAGCCATGCTGAAAGAAACTATCCATGTTGGAAGTTCATGCTTTTCATTACTAATTAAAGAACAAGAAAGGGGAGTGATGACCTATAACAAGAGAAGAGAAGGGAAGGGAAGGGAAGGGAAGGGAAGGGAAGAAGAAAAGAACACACCTAGGGGAGTTCAGTGTCTTGCATACTGAGACAAGAACACAGGACAGTTTCGTTGAAGTATATATTTTTATAGTAAAGGAACGAAATGGCTACCACTTACCAACAAGAACGACAAGCTCTCCAGGCTGCTTAGCACAATGAGCTGCAGTAAGTATAAAATACTCATTCAGAATTGTCCCCCCACAAAACAAATGATCACCCTCATGTAGTAGAGCAGCCTGCAAAGAGATGGGGGGGGAAAAAAACACTAAAGTACGAAAAAGATAAATAAACAGGAATCCTGAACAGCTGGCTCAGATGCAAGCAATTTTCACAAGTATTGTCTGTCAGAAACATCCTTAATTCAGAGTCAGGGAGAGTTACACTCAAGCATAGCCACTGCAGTGGGAAACCTGTCGAGACAGAGAGATCTTGGCTCAAAACAGAGCTAATGCATTCAGATATTTTTTTTCCTAACAGCCTTTTGTTGTTGCTATTTTTAAAACAAATTAAGCTAATACTGTCAGAGCACTATTCTTGCTTGGGTTTTTGTTTTGCTTCTGTCTTGGTCATAAAAGGAACTCCAGCTATTCTTTCCATATTGCCATGTGGCTACCTGAATATCGGGGTGCCTGGTAGAGAGAGTGTCCTTTTGGGAAACGTGGCCTTACGTCTACTACCTGCCACTCCACTTTTGTCTCACACTGCCCTGTCCAACACTTGCTTGGTACTGAAAGAGCTTTTTTGAAAGCAAAATATCTGACTGTGTGGCAGAAATGCAGGACTCAGGAGAGGGAAATGATCACTCAAAAGGTTAACACCAACTTACTCCAATACACATACGCTTTCTCTGACTACCATCCAGACTTTATACCCCATCCTCTTTCTGCATTGTTGTTACTCGCAGCATGACTACAGCGGTGACCACAAGCCCCAAAACACATTATGCTTCTCAAATGTCCTGATAGTTTCCTTTATTGGGACTTAGGTGTCCCATCAGTCACCATGCTACATATGAACAGAACACTGACTCAAACCCATTGCTTTGGCAAGTCGGTTAGCTGTGCAGTGGTGTCTCTTTTGTCACCTTCTGCATAACTAAAAGGCTACTTTGGTTTATTAGATCAGTCCTGCATTAAATCAAACTACGCCTCCATGGCAACAGGGGACACAAAAGTCTATCTGCAACATGACTTTGTGCAACCTTTTGCATGTATCAAATGGATACTCTGAGACAGGTTCCCATTAGCACCCAGATCAAGTACACAATTGCGTTGACAGAGTGCGAGGAAGGTACAGGGACGTATGCTCCAGTCAGGGGGCGATGAAGAGGAAATGCTTGTAGTTCCTGGTGAGCAGGGTCAGGGATCCAACATTTTGGATTCAGGGAGCCTTACCTGCCATGGACACATAGTAGGTAAATTGTCAGCTTCCCCTGTGGCCTCAGTGTGATTGCTCAGGACTTCACTGCTTTCCTCATGTTTAGAATATGCGTCTAGACTTGCCGTGGTTTCTGTGATGTCTTCTGGCCTGACTTCATGACTACTGTGAATTTTACCACATGGAAACTTGACTGTAAAGGCAAAAACAAAATGTTAATACTCGATGCCTGGGCAATACTGTACCTTTGAAACACCTGTGCCTTGTTGAGGTCAAGGCATTTCCATCCATAATCCTGAGTAAACTGCTGTGGACATTTAACAGCTGTTACCAGGCCTTTACTTTAGCTCAGAATTGCTGGATAATGCCTATGCTGTCCCTCAGACACCAAGCCAAGCAGCTTCCAAGTGGTAGCAATCTCCAGCAGAATGGAAACGCAGAGAGCTGTCCATGAAGCTGGTTTATAACAACACCCCGAGCTTCATCAGTCTGTCTGACAGAATCCTAAGTATAATAGACTATTTCATGCTCAGAAAAGCAAATCTAACTTCCAGGGCAACTTTTTTGAGCTGAATTCTTTAATATAAGAAACAGAAAACAAAAGCAGCCTTTTGTGGTTGCCAATGGTTACTAGTTATGGGGAA